AGACCAGCCTGAGCAAGACTGAGACCCAGTCTCTACTAAAAAGAGAAAATATTAGCCAGGCATGGCAATGTGCACCTGTAGTTCCAGCTACTTGGGAAGCTGAGGCAGGAGGATCACTTGAGCCCAGGAGTTCGAGGTTACAGTGAACTATGATGATGCCACTGCACTCCACCCAGGGTGATAGAGTGAGACTGTCTCAAAAAAAAAAAGATATGGGCTATATTAGTCAGGGTTTTCCATAGAAATGGAACTAATAGGCTATGGATAGATAGATGATAAATATATAGATAAAATACAGATAGATGGCTAGATAGATAATAGATATTTATTACAAGGTATTGGCTCACACACTTATGGAGGCTGAGAAGTCCCATGACGTGCCGTCTGCACACTAGAGACCTAAGAAAACCTGTGATGTATTAGAGTTCGAAGGCCCGAGAGCCCGAGATTCCAATCTGGGTCTGAAGGCCTGAGAACCAGGAGCACCAAGACGAGCAGATCAATGTTCTGGCTCAGGCAGTCAGGCAGAGGAAGTCGAATCCAACACTCTCTCCTTTCTTATTCTATTCTTGCCCTCAACAGGTGAGACGAGGCCCACCTGCCTTGGGGAGTGCCGTCTGCTTCACCCGGTCCACCAATTCAAATGTTGATCTCTTCCAGAAACACCCTCAAAAACACAACCAGAAACAATGTTAAATCAGATATCTCAGCATCTCATGACCCAGTCAAGTTAATACAGAAAATTAACCATCAGACGGACCACGTTCTAAGGGTACCAACAGGGGAAGACTGCTACAGCCCAAGGTACCTCAGCCAGGTCCTCCCTCATTCCTGTATTCCAGTGGTTCTCAGACAAGGGTGGTTTTTACCCCGCAGGGGACCTTTGGAAGTTTCCAGAGACATTTCTGGTTGTTACCGCTGAGGGAGAGGAGAGGTATGCTACAGCATCCTGTGGGCCAAGACCAGGGATGCGGCTGAACACCCTGCAATATGCGGGCTAGGCCCCACCACCAGCCCCAAATGTCAACAGGGCCAAGGATGATAAAGCCTGCTGTATTCATTCAAACAGCATTTGTTGAGCACCTACTGTGTGCCAGGCATTTTTTTAGGCACTACTGGGACACAGAGTTGAACCAATTAGACAACACCCCTGATAGCAGCGTCTGCACTTAAGAGAGGAAGACGTAGATGTTAAACAAATAGTCACAGTAATTATTATATATGATACACTATGATCAAAGCTCTGCTGGAAATAAATGAGTTGCTATGAGGGCTTGTAATAGGGGTGCAGACCCAGGGTGGGGAAGTCAGGGAAGGGCTTGTTCACAAGGTGACTTTTAGGTCAGAACTGAGGGTGTGTGGGAGTAGGCAGGGGAAGGATGTCACAGAGAGGAACAAGAGCAGGTGCAAGGCCCCTGTGGCCCGAGTGTGCTTTGCTTACTGCAGGAACAACGTGAAGCCCACTGGGGCCGGGAAGCCAGAGGATGAATTTGGAGATGGAGTCTGGACCTGACGGTGCAGACTCGGTGGCCACACTAGCGTTTGTACCGTATCCCAAGAGAAAAGGAAAGTTTAAGCAAAGGGGTGATTTTTTCAGAATTCTCCTTTAGGAACACCCCTCTGGCTGCAGGGCAGAGACAGTATGGGGACTGGGGATTGAACAAGAGGGAAAACGTCCTTAAGGAGAGGTCTGGGCTTCCATCCAAAAGCAAAGGAAAGAGCAAAACAAGAGAAATGAACGGTGCAAATTGCATCTCTCGAGCTGGCCCTGGCCTCTAGCTAAATTATCATTGCAACACTGGGCTGCCGTTAGCTCAGGGAGGGGGTGCCCTCAAGTCTGGGGATCTCCCTGTCATCACCAGCCTGTCTCTCTGCTCCTGCCCCTTAATCACCTCTCTGGGCTCTGGCCCTGCCTTGGGGGATACCAAAGAATGTGGCCCAGAGGGGACCATTAGCTCGACAAGGCAAAAAGCTATGAATGCAGCGGGTGGAGGACTTCGGAAAGTGAAAGCTAATTAATGAAGGGAGATGAGCACAGAGTCCCCAGGGAGGACTGGCCAAAGCTAGTGGGCATAAGGCAGCTGTCTCCATCCCTGCAGGGTGGGGGCTCATCACCCCAGACCTGGCTGTGTTTACATTTGAACTTCTGGCACTTACTTCTATTTTGAGTAATCGATGGCTTCTATTTTTTGGTCTTTTGATGGGAAAAAAATTCAAGCAATTTTTTTTTCCTTTTAGGAGAGGTGAGGCAGTCACCTTGAACACCCAATTTTAGGGGCCACTAAAAAATCTAATAATTGAGATAAATAATGTTTAATGCAATATTTTTCAAAATCAAAATTAATGGAAATAATTCATGATGAACAAATGTCAACATTTTAAATAAAGGCAGGATGCAGAGCTGGCATCCTGGCACTTCGGGGACCCTACCTCACTCTCTTCACCTTGATCCCGCCCTTGGGGTCTAGACTATGTCACGTATAAAAACAACACACATTCACTAAGTTCAACTTCTTTGGTTGTTTTAAATGTACGTGACTAATACTAACTAGCAAAGGAGTAAATGTGAAGTTTATTTCAATGTCAGAAAACATTGACATCGGTCAACCAAACTAGAGCAAGTTGATTTTTTTTCTGGTGACCATAGAGAACCACAGTGATGTTTCCCAGATATAGCCCAGAAGTCACCTTCACGGCGACTCTTTCAAACTCGCACAGTCTGCTTCTCGCCTGTTTCCCGGCATACTCCAGGTTGTCTCTGGAACTGTGATTAGCTACAGAGCACCGGCTGCACCCCAGACTCGTGCTGCCCACTTAGCCGTTTCCTCGTCTACGGCAACTCCAGGGCATGGGGGTGCAGGAAGAGTTTGCCATTTAGGTCCCCTTCCCATTTATAGGGGAGGCAAAGGATGCCCTCAAATATTGCCAGTTAACTACCGTGGAACTGTGAATATAACTCAGGAACCTGGAGTCATGAATTTGTTAGGGCAAACAATCTATATTTAAAAATGACACTCTTTTCTGTTTTAATACATCTACTAAAAAGAAAACCAAACTCAGAAACAATACAGCCAATTTGGCCAAACTTACAAGGGTCTCCGCAGTCCTCTCAACTGGGCGTTTCTTTCCAACCTCAGGAGAACAAAGTATTTCTAGTCCTGGCCTCATGTCATTGGTGCTAGTTAGAATTTATCTCTTGTTTCCCATCCAGGTCTTCCTCCCTTTCTGGAACAGACTGGCCTGCCCTCCTCATAATCCCTGAGAAATGTGCACTTCTGATCCCCAGCTTCGACTTAAAAAATAGTTTCTATTCTCGCTTTTCCACTTCATGGGCAAGACCTTTAGCTAACTGACTTATTCTCTTTTATAGCTCAGTTTCCTCATCTTCAAAATGGGACTAAAAATCCTATCTTCCCTGTGAGTGAAAGAACTCATGTGTGTGTTAAGCACTTAAAACCTATCCTTAATTATCAAGAAAATGCAAATCTAAACTACATTAAGGTACCACTAGGATGTCTGTAATCAAAAAGTCAGATTGTAGCGAAGCTCTGGCTAGGATGTGGAGAAATGAGAACACTCGCACATTTCTAGTGCGATTATAAAATGGGGCAGTAATTTTGGAAAAGGCTCTGGCAGTTCCTCAAACAATTAAACATAAAGTTACCCTATGACGCATCAATTCCACTCCTAGGATCAAAGAAATGAAGACTCAGGTCCACACAAAATTAAGCCCATTATCCAAAGTGGAGCACCACAAGAGCAGCAGAACGGGACCCATTTGTACTCACCATCAAATTGGTATTAACTAATCAACACATAAATGCACATATCAGAACAACATCTAGTGGATGCTAGGGAAGGGGGAGGGCGGTGGGAGGAGGCGGGAAGAGGGAGGAGGGGAAGGGTATTTGTATACACAAGGAGGGCAATGCGCACTACCTGAAGGATGGACATATTTGAAACACGGACTTCGGTCGGGGGGGAACCAAGAGCAACACACGTAACCTAAACATATGTACACCCATAATTTGCTGAAATAAAAAAAAAAAAAATCTTGTTCGTTTGTTTATAGCAGCCAGAAGGTGGCGACAACCCAAATGTTCCTCAGCTGATGGAAACAAAACATGGCGTATCCAAACAACGGAATATTATTCTGTCTATATTAAACGTCCAGAATAGGCAAATCCATAGTGACAAAAAATAGATTAGTGGTTTCCAGGGGCTGGGGGAAGGAGAACGATAGCTAAACCGTACCGAGTTTCTTTCAGAGATGATGAAAATGTTTTATTAATAAATTGACTGTGGCTATAACTGCATATATCCTTAAATGGGTAAATTATATGATATGTGAATTATATCTCAATAAAGCTGCCAAAAAAGACCGTGCCTAGCTGATGATAAATGCTCAAAAAACTGGGAGCTATGACAGGTTCAGTATCCTTTATCCGAAGTGCTTGGGAACAGAAGTGTTTCAGATCTTGGATTTCTTTGGATTTTGGAATGTACATATACATGATATTGGTAAAATATCTTGGGGATGGGACATTAATTTAAACATGAAATTTATTTATGTTTCATATACAATTTAGATACATAGTCTGAAGGTAATTTTATACAATATTTTTAAATAAGTTTGTTCATGAAACAAAGTTTTGTACATTAAACCATTAGAAAGCAAAGGCGTCACTATCTCAGCTACCCACATAGACAATCTGTGGTATCATGTCGGCACTCAAAAAGTTTCAGATTTTGGAGCATTCTGGATTTCAGATTTTCTAATTAGAGACCCTCAACCTGTACCAACATAACTATTAAGAAGGAAGAAAGAAATGGGTGGGGGGGGAGAGAGAGAGACAGAGGAAGAGAGAGAGAGGAAGGAAGGAAGAAAGGAAGGAAGGAAGGAAGGAAGGAAGGAAAAAGGGAAGAAGGGAGGGAGAGAAGGAAGGAAGAAGGCTGGAATGTCCCCATCCGCTGAATCCCCTGCCAGAAAGCCAGCCACATCAGGAGTTCTTCAAAAAGAATTTGCTGAGGAAGGTCTTCTTCAGGGCCATCTTCAGCTCCTTGTTCCTGAGGCTGAAGATGATGGGGCTGAGGAAGGGTGTGAGGACCGTGTAGGTGGTGCCCATCAGGGTGTCCCCTTCCAGAGAGTGGGGACCCTTGGGCTTGAGGTAGATGACAGAGGCAAAGCCATAGTGCACAATGACCACAGTGAGGTGGGATGCACAGGTGGAGAAGGCCTTGTGCCGACCTTCGGCAGATGGGATCTTCAAGATGGTGGCCACGATGAAGGCATAGGAGAGGAGGATGAGGAGGAAGCAGCCTAGCAGAGCCGTGATGCACACCAAGCCCACGCCCTTGGCCACCCAAGGTACGTCATCTCCACAGGTCAACTTCAACAGTGGTGGCACGTGGCAGAAGAAATGCTGGATCTCATTGGGTCCACAGAAGGTGAGTTGGAAAATGGCCGTGGTCACCACCATCCCCACCATGAAGCCACCAGCCCAGGACCAGCCCACCAGGCAGGCACAGCCATGGGGGCTCATGAGCATGTGGTAGCGCAGGGGTTGGCAGATGGCCACGTAGCGGTCATAGCCCATGACGGTGAGCAGGAAGGAGTGGGTGAAGCCAAATGTGAAGGAAGAGAACATCTGGCTGGCACAGGCTGGGAGGGTGATGGAGCAGTGGGCCGACAGCAGGTCGGCCAGCATGCGTGGGATGATGGCCACAGTGTACAGGACCTCGGAGATGGACAGGGCGCACAGGAAGAGGTACATGGGCGTGTGGAGGCTGCGCTCGCTCCAGACGGTGGCCATGATGAGCAGGTTGCCCAGCAGCGTGAACAGGTACATCAGCAGGAACAGCAGGAAGAAGACGGGCAGGAGCTGCTGCGGGAAGGTGGAGAAGCCGACGAGGATGAATTCAGATGTGGAGGTGCGGTTTAGCCCACATGGTGGCATGGCAGCCACACCTAGCGCAGGAGAAAGGGAGGAAGACCTGGTGGTTAGGAGCACAGAGTGCCCAGTGAGTCCTACCTGGGAGCACACCTGAGAGTCTCCCGCACCTGTCCAAGCCAAGATACGTCCGTCTGCAAAAAAGCATTAATAATAACGTATTGAAGTTTAAATACAGTCATGCACCTTAAGTGCTTCGCACAGCCCCTGGCACGTAATAAGAGCTCCATAAACACCAATACCGATAATAATAAATTATTACTACTCTTTTAAAATCCCACTGGTAGGAACACAGAGTCTCTATTCAGCCACACCTGGGTGAAGTCCTTACTTCAGAGCTATGGGATGTTGAGTTGGTCCCTGAATCTTTGTGACCTTAGTTTTCTCATCCCTAAAAGGAAGTCGAAATGGCAATTCCACACTGACAGGACTGTTAGGAGAATTAAATAAGGTTATGCTCATAATGTGCCGACCGCAGGGCCTGAGAGAGAGTAAACACTTAAAACTGTAACGTCAAGGACGGGCGTGGATGGCCACAGTCAGATTTTCTTGAACTGCGGCAACCTAGGGTTGTATCTCTGTTTTTTACTATAAGATAAATCCATTTGATTTTTTTCATAATTACTATTGTTATGGTACTTAATTCTGGCACTTTTAATATTTGAGTTATTATATATAAATATATCTATAGCTAACATGTACGTATGTATATATGCATTATAATGATACACATACATGAATCACACATAGGCACATAGTCCTTTTCAGTGCACACAAAAAACCAAACACTACTTAAGACATAGAATTGTCACCAAAATAGACCTTGTGTTAGGCCATAAAGGAAGTCTAGAAACTGGGATTTAATCAGCAGAGGATACCTAACACTTCCTATATATTTGGAATGTAAATATCAGGTTGACTTAGGTGACATTGCCATAGCAACATATTACTGAGTAATCTTTGAGGTAAAAGGAAAATTAAGAAATAATAAGAGCTAAATAATAACAAAAAGTTGAAATAACAACAAAATGAATTGGATTCTATTCTGGAACATGAAAAGAATACTGGAGAAAAATTTGCAAAAATCCAATATGCTCTGTAGTTTGCTTAAAAGTATTGTACCAACTTTAATTTCCTGAAAATTGTACTGGGGTTGTGTAAGATGCTGACAAAAAGGGGAGAACAAGAATTTTATGTATTTGTTTGCAGTTTTTTTGTAAGCTTAAAGTTAATTAAAAATAAAAAGTTAAATACAACAGAGCATTATGCAATTCAAAGTAGCAGCAAAATCTATCAAGTATCTAGGCTTTAGTTTAACTAAGAGCACACAAGACCTCCTTGGAGATCAATTAAACCTCTCATTATCAGAAAACACGGAAGATGATTTAAGTAAATGGATGCAATGGAATGACAATATTAGAAAATGTTAATTTTCCCCCAGATACAATCTATACATTCAATGGAGGCCTCTCAAAAAACAATTTGGTTGGATTTTTTTGGAGAAAGATGATATACTTGTTATAAAACTTCTGTGAAAGAATAAATGTCCATGAATAACTAAGTCAACCTGGAAATGAAGAACGAAAAGAGGGAAAATTTTCCTTCCCTTAGCTGGGCATGGTGGCAGGTGCCTGTAATCCCAGCTACTTGGAGGCTGAGGCGGAAGGATTGCTTGAACCCAGAAGTTCATCTTTTGCCTGGGCAACAGAGAGACCTCATCTGGAAAAAAAAAAATTCCCAAATATGGAGCCTTGGAAAAAACACATGGTAGGATCAGACAGACAAACAGACCGGTGGTGCAGAGTGAAGACCTCAGAAATGGAGTCACACTTATGGTTAAGGTCACCCCACAAATCAACACAAACGATGAATTGTTCAGGGGTGCTATTGAGAAAAGTGTCTCTCTATGGAGATAAAGCTAAGACTGAACTCCCTGTCAACACCCCATTCCGAGACAGAATCAAGATGCACTAAGGACCTAACCGGGGAAGATAAAACATGGTTCATAAAAGAAAGTGTATGGACTTAGGGGGGGAGGGGGGGGCAAGGGCAACACACGTAACCTAAACATCTGTACCCCCATAATATGCTCAAAAAAAAAAAAAAAAGAAAGCGTAGCATGGTCTTTCTGGTCTATGAACAGGAAATGACTTATTTAAAAGCAAAACAAAAGCAGAAATCATAAAAGAAATAAAATGACCAATTCCATTGCATCAAAATCCCAGATCACATCAGTAAAGAGCATCGTGGATAAAGTTAACGGATGACAGACAGAAAGAAGAGATTTACAATGTTGGAAATGGACAGCAGATAGTATCTAGAATCTACAAGGACTGTCTACAGACCAGTAAGGAAGGAAGACAAGAAGCACAGTAGGAAGTGGCCAGAGGGTAGATGTGGGTGATTTGCAGAAGAGGAAACCCAACAGGCTAATGGCACATTAGGACATGTGGACCTTCATTAGCAATTAGAGGAATGCAATTTAAAACGGTAAGGTGGTGTCAATTACACTTGTTAGAATAGCAAAATGTAGAGAGCCGGATGCTGCCGCGTGTTGGCCCAAATGTGAGGATGGGGGGCTGCAGACATTCTAGCAGGTACCTGGAGGTTCATGGCCACATGAGGGGAAGGAATACTTACCCTAAGTCTCAGAAATGCCGCTCCTGGGTCTCCACCCTAATGCACTTCTCACACGGGGGGCGGAGGGCGGTGAGGAACTGCATTGCAGCATTGTCCAGGATGGCAGAGAGTCATGGGCAGCCCGGGCGACCCCCACTAACTAGGGGGGGTGGAGGCGTACCCCAGAACGTAGCAGACAACATTTAGGAGCAACAAACATGATATTGACATAGCAACATGGATGATTCTCAAAAATACAGTGCTGGGTGGAAAACCAGAAAGAAATATGATACCTCCAGCACAGAACAATGTCCCCCAGTGAAAGCACGTATGTGCTTTACATGTACGCACGTATATGCAACCGTACACTTTTATAAGAATTTGTGCAAGCAGAAGGATGCACTTTGAGCATATTAGGACGGCAGCCTGTGGCGGGTAGGGGAACAGGAATGAGACATGACGATAAATGGGCATAAACAGAAGAGAATGGCCCCTGTTATGCAGCTCAGTGATGATAAAATGTCATCGACTGAGGAGTGCAATCAACTCAGATGTCTGCAGTTTCAGTCCAACGAAAATTTGCAAATATATATATTTGTGCATATATATGTATCTTCGACTAACTCAAGCTACTGTTTTGATAATAGGTTTTTGAATGCCCGGGACAGGGTTCATGCCAATGTTGCAATGTCTCCTCCCAGCACTACCTGGAGATTGCTGCTAAGTGTTCTCTCTGAGCCACATCGGTCCAATGCCTAGAGGGCTGAAAACACCACCTGGAGAATGCACAGTTCAGCTCAGACGAGACGGGTGTGCCCACACGGGAAAGTAGTGTCTTTGGGTTGTTTAGAGGGGACCCAGCCAGCCGAGCCAGTAACTGGAGCACCAGCCTTAACTCGCTCCTCTTCCTCATCCCTCCTGTCCTTCCACCATCATCCCTGACCTCACTCCCTGCCCCTCCATCACATGGACACAGACCCACCTCTGACCTCTCTCCTGGACCACTGCGCCTGCTCACCTCCCCTCCTCTGTTCCACCCCCACCTCCAACTACCAGAGCCAGTTCTCTAAGACAGGGGTCCCCAACCTATGGTGAGCTGTATAATTATTTCATCATATATTACAATGTAATAATAATAGAAATAAAGTGCACAATAAATGGAATGTGCTTGAATAATCCCCAAACCATCCCCCCTCCTCCCTGGTCCGTGGAAAAATTTGTATACACAAGGAGTGCAATGTGCACCACCTGAAGGATGGATATATTTGAAACACAGACTTGGGGGGCGGGGACCAAGGGCAACATACATGACCTAAACATCTCTACCCCCATAATATGCTGAAATAAAAGAAAAATAAAATAAAATAAAAATTGTTTTCCATGAAAATGGTCCCTGGTGCCAAAAAGGTTGGGGACCGCTGCCATACACAGGTTGTGGAATCTTGCAGACCCGTCGCTCAAATCCCAGGTTCTTATTGTGTGTTGGGAGAACTAGACGCCTGCCCTGCGGATCCTCTGTTGAGATGTGATGTCAAGTGCTCAGCGAGAAGTTTTCAAGCCTCCCAGCTGGCAGTGTTGGGAGCATCTCTGTCACTGTTGCTGTTTGCCGTCTACTGAGCTGGCTGTCACTCAGCCTTCCCCACCAGGTGCCCCATATAGGCACTGTGACAGTCCAGGGTTTCAACCCCATTCCGGACTACTCTTCCCTCCGACACTGGGAATACCCCACCCCGTGCCCAGCACCGCTCCCTCACGGTGCCTGCCTCTTCTCCTCCCCTGGCTACAAGCAGGCTCCAGGGACCCTGCTCCTCAGTACACGAGTTTTCCTAGAGATTTCACAAAGGCTCTCCCAGCTCCCTGTCTCCCTCTGACACTTGCTCTGTCCCACCCTTTGCCAGAACGACCCCTCCGCAGGGTTCTCCAAAGGGGCTCTCCAAGTTCCCTGCACGAGCATAGAGTGCTCCGAGGCAGAGCCGCAAGCCGTTGTGTATGCAGGCTGGCTCCCGCATCCTGCCCCGGTGCCCTCCTTCCTCAAGGGGGACACTCTTCAACTCATTCAGCCCTCTGTGCTTATGCCGCCGTGTCCTAGACCTGAGACTGTGCACACGGGTGCAAACGCAGACAGAGCTGAGCCACGCCGCTTTTGAAATACACACGGGCAGGGACACCCAGGGAACAGCCAGAAACAGAGACATCGTCGCTCATTCTGCACACACCTCCTGACCACAGGTGCCGGGGCTCATCTGGGCTTGGGATACACTAGGGACACACGGTGGCTACGTGTGCAATGACACTACTTTGAGTTGAATAGTGTCCACCCAAACCTCAGAATGTGATCTTATGTGGAAACAGGGCCTTTACAGATGTAATTCCGGTAAAGATCCCAA